AGCCTGTCCTGGAGGAAGCAAACATCCTTTTTGTCCTCCTGCTGACCCAGACATAGCCAACAAAAAGCCTCTCCCCTCCCCGGGAGCCGGCACAGGGTGGGGGATCAGACAGACCTGCAGGAATGTAGCGCTGGGTGTTATTGTTTCTGGCTGTCCAACTCCATCACATTCCAGTAGAGCGGCAGGGCAACCTCCGCCTGGGAGCGCAGAGAGAAGGATCCTGGAGCCATAAAGGCTCCAGGCCTGGTTTTCCCTGCTGCCCATGAGGGGCGTGTCTCATGCAAAGAGGCAATGTGGGAGCCCTGAAGCCAGTGGAAGGAAGAGGCTGCTGCTGGAGATCCCCACCCCCAAACACACACACACATACACTCTCTGTCTCTCTCACTTTCCCTTCCCCCTCCTATTATCTCTTCTCTGTTTCCTAAGCTGAGCCGAGGAGGTCCTGGTGTCTGTTCCCTTGCAGATCAAAAGTTGCCCCCGGCCCTTTTGTCTGCTGGAGAAGGGACAGCAGATACCGAGGGTGTGGGCATAAGGAGGGCATAGCAAGCTGGATCCGCTTGAGCACTTCTCCACGGAGACTCTCACTTTCCCTTCCCCCTCCTATTATCTCTTCTCTGTTTCCTAAGCTGAGCCGAGGAGGTCCTGGTGTCTGTTCCCTTGCAGATCAAAAGTTGCCCCCGGCCCTTTTGTCTGCTGGAGAAGGGACAGCAGATACCGAGGGTGTGGGCATAAGGAGGGCATAGCAAGCTGGATCCGCTTGAGCACTTCTCCACGGAGACGTATTGCTCAGTCGCGAGAAAGTCGGAATGCCACCGTTCTCATACTGGCACTAATACCTTCTGTAGACTTGGGGGTGAGTCACTTGGGCTCTGCGCCTCAGCTTCCTTGCTGTAAAGTTGGGGTAATCCCCACGCCCAAGGAGTGTTCTGTCAAGTCCTTAGCCAGACCTGCCTGGCCCCGTGTGTCGGTCCAGTTTTGGTTCTGTCTTGGGAGCAGCACTTCCCCCGGGTCCCCAAAGAGAAGTGTAGCTCTTGCAGAGTATGTGCGCTGGGCAGGATCGCCTTGCAGGGAGCTGTAAGTCCCAGGCCAGCAGGAGAGGCAAGGCCCCTTGGAGGGGGATAGAGCTTCTGAGCCGCTGGGTTTCCAAAGGGACTTGGTCCCCCATTCCCATCCCTTGTGCTCTTCCTGTCCGTGCCGCCCAGGCCTGTGACCCTGATTAAAGGAGCAGGACCTTTGCCGGAGCATTGCCCTGACCTGCTTGAGTGCTACAGAGATTCCTAGGGGAAGCTCCTGAGGCTTTACTGGATTCAGCGTCCTGTCCCCCCTCCGGGAAGTGACCCACTGGTAATGGAATCCGTGGCGTAGCGAGCACCAGCCCAACAGCTGCTCGGCACTGGGTCAGCATCATACCCATGCTGAGCACTGCTTCGGGGGGGAGGGTCCGGGGGAGAAGGGCTCTTGCTGCAGAAAGAGGGGGCCCTGGGACCATTAGAGAAGTGATGTGCGTGTGTTCCCCTCTCTGTCCCTGCCTAACGCTGTCCATCATCCCCCCACCTCCAGTTTGAGAATGAGTCGGCCTTGAACCTCTATGAGACATGCAAGGTGCGGACGATAAAAGCCGGGACCCTGGAGAAGCTGGTGGAGTACCTGGTCTCAGCCTTCAAGGGGAACGACTCCACCTACGTCACCATCTTCCTGTGCACGTACCGGGCCTTCACCACCACCAAGCAAGTGCTGGATCTGCTGCTGAACAGGTAACGCTGCCCCTCCCTCTCCATGGTGCCACTGGGGGTGGGGATCTGTGCCCCCCCTCCCTGCTTTGGTCTCTCCTGTGCATCCCCCTCCAGGCAGGCGATTCTTGCCCCTCTAGCGCTGGGTCATGCCTGACCTCAGCTCAGCATCCCAGATCACTGCTGCTCCTTTGAGGGGTTCCCTCTGGTTTGAATAGGGAAGGAGTTGCCCCCACTCCAGCCTCAAAAATACCCCTGGACCAGGTCCTCTCCTCTCGTGCGGACTGAGCACAGAGCCTCTGTTCTGGGCTAGGGGCTGCTCAACCATGCCACAGTCCTGGGAATGGAGTAGCTCTGCGATTTTCAAACATGTTTTTTTTTTTCTCCTGACCCAGTTGAAGAAAATTGTTGATGCCCACGACCCGGCATCATTTGACTAGATTGTAGGCTCTGAGTGGGGCTGAGGATGAGAGCTTTGAAGTGTAGGATGAGGTTCCAGCTTTTGGGTGAGGATGGAGCCGGAGCGACTCCCAGTCTGCAATGCAGCTGGGGTGCTAAGGCAGCTTCCTGGGGCGCAGGATGGTCTTAGGTGCCAGATGCAGCCAGCAACAGGTTCCCAGCCAGTGGGAGTGCAGAGCTAGTGCTCGGGGCAGGGGCAGTGCATGGAGCCCCGTGCGCTCGCCCCCCCTCCCTGCTTCTGGGGTGCCAGGACAGGTGAGAAGCTGCCTTAGCACCCCCAGTGGTCACCGGATCCCCCTGCAGCAACAAGACCTGGTGCCCGACATCTCACCACCCAGTCCTGGGTCACGATCCTTAGTTTGAAAACCGCTGGAGTAACCTCCCTGTCTGTCAGAGACCAGCAGCTGGGAGTGGAGAATTCCCGCTTCTGCCTTTCCCTCAGCCCTGTGGCGCTCTGGCCCTTCCATGCCCGTGGGAGCTGGAGCAGGGCGCGACCGGTGGTGTGTGGAAAGCCAGCGGCCCGGCCAGCTGGTTTCTCCAGAGACTTTGGCATCCCAGCCTTGAGTCCGTCCTAACGCTGCTGTCTGCAATTGGAGCTGTGTCGTGCCCTCCCCCTGCGTAGGCAGCATCTCGTTGTGGCCCTGGCGCAGCGCGTCTGCCAGGGCGCCAGAACAATGGGGGCAGTGTTAGCGAGAGCGCATACCCGGGAGCACGTGTACGCCAGGATTGCCTGTCCGGGCACTGCACTAGGGTGGGGGAGGGCGGCCTTATAAGGCCGTAGGATGATTAGAGCGGGGGGTGGGTAGCACAGAGGCTGCTCTTTGTACCTAGGCTGCCCCTCTCCCCGGCACCTTTGAAATGCCTCAGCATGGCCCCCCCCATTCCTAGGTCAAAGCCGGGTCCATCCCACCTAGGGCCTGCTGCTTTAGGAAAAAGTGGTTGGCCCCTTATCTCCCATAATGCACCTGGTTGAATGAAATAGACATTTAGGGTTGGGGGGGAGGAGCTTTTCTAACCCCTGTGGCTGTTGGCTGGTGCCTGAGAGAGAGGAAGGGCCGAGGGTTAAGAAGGCCCAGCAGGCCGAGAGCCCTGGTTGGTTGGTGTTACAATGGCATTCCCGGAAGTACTACCCGGCCACAGCCCTCGGGCAGCGGGGTACTTTGGAGGTACCTGGGGGTGCAGTGCCACTCCACCCTTCCCTGGCAGAGAGCTCGTGAACTGGCCTGCGCTGTCCGACTCAGGGCGGGTCTACACCATGGGGGAATGTCGACCTAAGGTTAGATAGACATCTGTCAGGGATGGTGTAGACGGAGCTTGATCCTGCCTTGAGGGCGGGGGGCTGGACTCGATGACCTCTCGAGGTCCCTTCCAGTCCTATTATTCTATGATTCTATGACACTGGCTGTGTTGGAAGCTACTTACCTTAGGTCAAGTTGTCATGGGAGGTCTCCCATGGGGGTGGGGGGGTGTCAATGGAAGAAACTCTCCTGTCAAGTTCCCTTGCACGTCTCATACCGGTGGAGTTCTGGGAAACGTAGACCTGCCCTGAAAGTGAAGCAGTCTCGTGGAAAAGCAGGTGACTTTCCCCTGCCGGATGCAGCTTCTCTGCCTGTGTGGGAAAGGACGATCTGTCGTAGCTGCTTAGGGGAGTTGTCACTGTGCACATGGGACATGTGCAAGGTCCATGGCCCACACAGTTTTCAACCCAGAGTCCTAGCAAATGTTCCCTCTACTTTTTCCCCCCCCCACCTGTGTGCAGAATAAATTTTGTTCTGTGCACTGAGGCATGTGTGGATGTGCACCACCAATAGAAACGCACCCACAGCTGGCAGCTAATCAGCTGGGCAGCATTTGAATTGCTCCAGGAGCACTGGTCCTTGCCTAAAGCAACCTTGAGAATCCACTAGTTGCTAGTTACCCCTCTTGGCTTGGCAATGGGCCCCCTGAGAAGCCGCTGGCAGGAGTGGTGGATCCAGGTGGTTTTGGAACCCTGCCCTGACCAAAATAAGCCCCCAGACTCCATGAAGGGGCTAGAGCATGTTTGGGTGTGGCGGGCCATATACTGGGAAGAGATCCGGAGAGGCAGCTGCTGAGAGGTGGGTTAACTGGCTCGTTGTGTTCATTGTTCCCAGGTATGGCAAACTGCATGCCCAGGTGAACGGGGACCATGCCAGACACGCTGTGGATGAGAGACTGGAGCTGAAAAAGTAAGCGAACCTCTGCTGCAGCGAGCCTTCCACTCGGCACCAGGGCAGGGAGGTGGATGCAACCTCTTCAGGTGCCAAAGGGCTGCCCACTCTGGGCTGTGTGCATCTGCCGTGGAATTCGCTTTAGGAAGATACAGGCAGGAAGGACGGGGTTGAGAAGGGTCAGGACTTGGATTTGGTCACTGCTGGGAACTTTGACTAGGTGGGTTTGGGAAAGAAACCGGGAATAGAACCCAGATTTCCCAAGCCCCACTCACTTGCTCTAACCACTAGGCCACATGTCCTCTCCTGTCAAGATTAAATGTGTTGTCCAGTTTGCCTCTGTGATATCACGTGGCAGTGAGTTCCACAGGGTAATGTGACACTGAAAGTGTGTTTGCTACTCGGTGGTTAGGACTTTTGGGCACATGGGTTCTCTGCTCTCATGCACACTCACACAGAGGTGTCGTTTGATGCCCATTTTAACAACCAGTCTGTCCATCTGCTTCTTCCCAGCACCATCTCTTCCATCCTGGGCGCCTGGCTGGACCAGTACTCTGAGGATTTCCGCAAGCCCCCAGACTTCACCTGCCTCAAGCAGCTCATCTCCTATGTGCGCCACAACATCCCTGGCTCGGATCTGGAGCGGAGAGCGCGGATCCTGCTGGCCCAGTTCCAGCAGCAGGAGCACAGCGAGGCAGAGCCGGAGGGTGAGCGGCGCTTCCTTCCCACGCCTGTGTCCCTTCGCGCTGTGTGTGGTATGCGCCCTGGGCTTCCTCAGTGACTCCGGGGTGCAGATCTGTGTGTAGTGAGGGCCGTCCGCAGAAAGGTTGAGGGTTAGTGCCCAGGAGGATCCCCAGGGCTGAAAAAGTCTCCCCTTGGCCAAAGCCAGATGGGTCCGTTCTGCCCTGCCCACGACAAGGGGAGTTCAGATTGTAGATGGCCCTTCCCCAAACTGAATCTCTTCCCCTCCCGCCCTGGGTGCTGGCAACCACCTCTGGGCGCCCTGTACGAGACAGGGGTTGTAGGCAGGGGCGTGGAGGTGAGGAGGGTGGGATGAGGGATGTGGGACGGGCCTGGGTGTGAAGAAGGGTTGTTGGGCCTGCGCGGTGGGGTGTCTGCGTTCAGAGCAAAGCGGGAGTTGTGGCATGGGAGGTGGTCCCCTCATCATGTCCCCCGTCTCTTCTCAGCTGTGGACCATGCCAGCTGCACCTTCCGGATAGTGGAGGAGAATGGGCTAGGGGAGGCGAAGCCGGACTTCCTCGCCTTCTCCCAGGAGATGGTGGCCGAGCAGTTCACACTGATGGACGCTGTGAGTATTGGCCTGCTGCCCACGGCTCTGTCCCAGTCCTTAGTGCCCTGCCTGTGCGCTACCTGCCCAGCTCTGTCACACTCTCCTCCCCCTGCTGTGTTCTCTGACTCGCCTGTTCCCTTGTGAGACCCGTCTCTGACCTTCTCTCTTCCAGGAGCTGTTCAAGAAAGTGGTGCCTTACCACTGCCTGGGCTGCATCTGGTCCCAGCGGGACAAGAAGGGCAAAGAGCACCTGGCCCCCACCATCCGCGCCACCGTCTCCCAGTTCAACAGCGTCACCAACTGCGTCATCGCCACGTGCCTTGGGGACCGCTCCCTCAAACCGCAGCAGAGGGCCAAAGTGGTGGAGCGGTGGATTGAAGTGGCTCGGGTAGGACTGTCCTGTGATGTCGGCCTTTTCCTCAGAGGGATCATTCTGGGCGGGGGGGTGCTTTTGAAGCCCAATGGCTTGGGAGTGGGTTCTAATCCTTGCTCCATGACAAGGCTCAACTTCCTGCACCTCAGTTTCCCCTTCTGTGCAATGGGGGTAACGATATCCATTGTCAAGCATTATGAGCCGGGCTAAGGATTGTAACTAATAGTGGGAACTCCCCGTCCCACCAGCCCTGCTCACAAGGCAGCTAGAGGGTCCCTCCAGGGAGCCCAAGGCTGAGAGGGTGAATGGCAGAAGGGGACCAAACTGAACCCTCTCATCCTGGGGCTTGAATAAGTGTGGCTCCTCCGGGCCAGGGGGAAGCCTGTCACCGTTGCCTGGCTGCCCTCTTTCCAATGAACGTCTAACCCTGCCGTCTTCCCCTCAGGAGTGTCGCATCCTGAAGAATTTCTCCTCTCTCCGAGCCATCCTCTCCGCCCTGCAGTGCAACGCAGTTCACCGGCTGAAGAAGACCTGGGACGAGGTGTCACGGTGAGCACACCCCCTTGGAGCTGTGGCCACTGCAGGAGCGTCGGTGTGGCTTGGGGGTTCCACCACAGGCTATTCCTATCGATGCCCCAAGCGGTAATGCTGGCAGGGCCCCCGGGTTGTCGCTGGGGCCTGGTGACAGTGCAGATGGGACTGTGATCATCTGACGAGCCCCAGCCTTGCCTCAAGGAGCGTGCCCGAAAGCCAGGGACCAACATGAATCCTTTGCTGTCTTATCAGTATGAATAAATTAAAGTAGCTCCCACATACGAAATGCCTCGGGAGACCCACCGAAATAGCAGTGCTGCCCATGAGAGCTGTGGTCAGCCTGGACCTTCCTGGGGGCATGGCCCTCCTGAACTGGCACGCTTCATCCAAGCAGTCCCTTGTGGGTTTATTGACAGCAAAGGGGACAAATGGCCATTCTCCTAAGGTATGCTGGGAAAATCTTCTGCAGTGTCAAGAAAGGATCCAGGCTCCAAGCCGGAATTTGGGGAAGTGGAACTTTGGAGAATGAAATGGGGTTTAATGAAGATGATTCTAGATGGGTCCGTAGGCTTGTGCAAGAAGAGGGGCAGACCGCCCCAAACGGGAGGGGGACATTGGGATTCTGGTGCTGATGCCTCCTTGTTTTGCCCCAACCAGGGAGAGCTTCCGCACTTTCCACGAGCTGTCGGAAATCTTCTCGGACGAGAACAACCACTCGCTGAGCCGAGAGCTTCTCATTAAGGTATGAGGAGCTCAGAGCCTCTCTCCTGGTCTTGTTTCTGGACCGAGGGCGGGATGGGAATCTACTTGTTGCTGCCAACATTGTGCCAGGCTCATCTCCCCTCCCCCCCCATGGTAACTTTGCTGCACAGCTGGCTGGGTCTGTAACTCCCAGTCTGCAGCAAGGATGTGTGGAGCAATGGGGCAGGCAGCAAGTTGCTGGAGGTTTTGCCTGGTCTCTGTAGGGGGCATGCTCTAAGCCACCACGCAGAGACAGATACATGAAGATACTTCGAGCAGTGTTCAGTGTGTGTCTCCGGGGCGTTTGGAACCGGATCAGAGTGTTACAAACACACTTTTTACACACACTACACGCAAGAGGCATGTATCCAGGGATGTGTGGGATGATTTTTTTTTTTTTTAATCCCAATATGAGGCTTCCCCCTGAAATATTTGCATCTCAGATGCTGCAGCTTGAGTATCAGGAGGTAAAAGACTTAAAACTGACTGGGCCGGTTCTGCTGCCCAAGAGGAAGGGGTAGGAGGTCTGTAGAATCCTCCCCATTTTAACAGTCAGGCAGTGTCTGTAATACAGTTAGGGAGCTAGGATCGGGCCCATGAAAACCGCCGTCTGCATGAATCAGGAGATTTTCATTGGGGCGGCATCAGCCGAGAGTCTGGCCCAGCACTTCCAACTGAACCGTTTCCCTTTAAGTCTGAAAGGGGCAGAGCAAGGCGGCGCTTTGTGAATGGCTGCTGCTGACAGCCTGCACAGCTGAGCAGCGATCTGTTCTGAGGTTGGGGCTGCGCCCAGCTCTGGTTGCCAGGAAATCCCCAGGGAGGGCAGAAGATAAGAAGGGAAGAGGCTTGTCTGCGAGAGGCATGTTAGCAGAGGGATTCCCTCCCCTTATCGCCTTGGAACGGAGGCAGAGGAGCTCTGGCTGTGCAGGCCGAGATGGACTCCGGGACTGGCTCCTTGTGCACACGCGTTCTCTTACGGGACCGCCGCACATGTTAGCTGCCTGCAAAGGAAGTAGCGGTATTGGTTTGGCCACCACGCCTGCATCTGAAAATCGCTCTAGTGGGCCTCATGCTGCTCTTGTACCATTGTGGTGGGAGCAAGCGTTGCCCTGCTGATGGCAGTAGCATGACATGCGTGCACAGGGGAGGTGAGAAGAGTTTTAGCGCCTGCTCGGTAGTGCCCAGAGTCACGTAGGGATGTCTTTCTGGCTCCATGTAGGACTGGGCTTAAGGGTTCTGCACTGGAATCCCCTGGGTGCCTCAGGCCGCAGGTTCAAATCCCCCTATCTGTGGTGTATATAGGATGCTGTGTACCAGGTGGCTGCCCTGCCCCAGAGGTGGCTGCATTTGAGCAGCCTTGCAAATACAAAGGGCCTGTCCTGATTCCCCAGTGATTTTAATGTGAGTGAGGAGTGCTCAAAGTATAATGGTTTTGGGCTGCAAACCTTCATTCCCTCCTTGCGCCTGTCAGGGACTCTGTCCGGGGCTGAAATCACACAATCCAAAAGGAAACAAAACATCCCTTTGAGCTATTAACGGGTGGGGGGGCATCATATCCCACCCGATATGAGTCTCCTCCATTTTTGATCGGTTGCCCAGTTTTGATCATTCCCTCTCCCCTCTGAGACAGAGCTTGTCCACATGGGATGCTACACTGGTATAAGGGGGGTGAATTTAAACCATTGTCCCTAAACCTGTTTAACACCCTTTATGGATGCTCTTCTTCTGGTAGAAGGGAGCCAAGTTTCAGTTGAACTAATGTCACTTTCGAAGCCATTTAATGATCATACCCAGCTCTTTTATCTGGCACTTTCCACCAGAAGCTCTCAAAGTGCTGTGAAAATGTCAGTGTCATTCTCCCCTTCTACTGATGGGGAAACAGAGGCACAGAAGGGCCGTGCTTGAGGTCACCTAGCTGGCCAGTGGGAGAGCTGGGAACTGAAAACCAGATCTCTTACATCCCGGTCCAGCCTGCCCCCTAGGGCTGTTTAAGATAAGCCCAAAAAAACCCATCTGGAATAAGCATCTCCTTATGGGGAGTTGTGCCAGTAGAGCTGTAGCAGCTTCCCTGTGCCAGTGTAATTCTACGCTCGCTAAGTCTCCCCCCTCAACAAGCCCTTTGTCCCTCAGCAGGCAAGTGGCATGGCTATAACCCTGTCTGGGCGGGGCCCATGTTCTCAGTGAGAGCTGAGGCAGGGAGCGTGACTTCCCCTGGGCTTGCAAAGCAGGCTCCGAATTCTCGCCCCCGGAGGCCTGATCCTGGTGATGGAGGCCAGCCTCTTGCAGGCATGTTCGATCAATAAACCCGCCCGTCTCTCCTTCCCATGAATCCAGGAAGGGACCTCCAAGTTCGCCACCCTGGAAATCAACCCAAAGAGGGCCCAGAAGCGACAGCAGCAGCAGCGGGAGATGGTGAGTGATGGGTATGGGGAGCACGTGGCTGGTGGCCGCCTCCCTGCTCGCTCGTGCGGGTCTCACTCCTGCTCTCCCTCCTCTTCCAGGGAGTGATGCAGGGCACTATTCCCTACCTGGGCACCTTCCTCACGGACCTGGTGATGCTGGACACGGCCATGAAAGATTTCCTGGATGTAAGTACCACGCCCTGGGCTCTGCTCTCCCCTTCTCCGCCTGGCTTTGGAGCCCTGGAGCTCCCCGGGGGTGTGGGTGGCTGAAAACAAAGGGCTGCAGCCCTGCATGGCCGGACTCCCTGGACATGTGCACACGCCTGCGTTGGTTGCTGATCTCACACTGCCCCCTAGCGGGAATCCTGCAGCTCTGCAGTCCCCGGGAGAGGGGTTATTGGCGGGTTCGCTGTAACCTCTCTCTGCTTTCTGTCTTTCAGGGGGGGCTGATCAACTTCGAGAAGAGAAGGAAGGTGAGAGCCGTTCACGTGCGGCCGAGCTTTCAGCCAGCACAGCTGGGGCTGGCTTTGTGCATCCCGGCAGTGGGGGGCCATGGATGCCGGAGCCATTGCGGATGGTTCCTCTCTGGTCTTCGCAGGCTCCCCTTTGGCCCCCCCACTCTATGGTCTGGAGCACAGAGACTGTTTGTGTGGGGCTCCATGTAGGGTGCCTGAGACACCTCCGATCTTATGGGGCAGGGGTGAGGGGTCTGGTCAGCCAGTAGGAGCAGGCCTCATTCTCTCTCCGCCTTGGTCCCTTCAGGAGTTCGAAGTTATCGCCCAGATCAAGCTGCTCCAGTCGGCCTGCAACAACTACAGCTTCACGCAGGAGGACAGCTTCGTGGAGTGGTTCCACGGTGTGGAGCGGCTGAGCGAGGCCGAGAGGTGAGCTAGGCCCCGAGCCAGGGCCTCTCGCCGCTGGTCCCTCTGCCGCGGCCCAGCACCCCCCTCCTCTGGACGGGCCCCCAGAACCGGGGCTGGCCTGCGGCGCCATCGCTCTGACGCTCTGCTGCCTGGACCCATAGAGGGACCCTTTGTCTCCTTCAGATCCAGGCTGCTGAGACCTTAGGCTCGTGGCCCTGCCCCCTCCGGCGTGTGCAGCTCCTGGCAAATCTGGCATTGGGCAAAGTGGAGGGTTGGCGACCAATATTCCCTCTAATTTGTCTATCCATGTGTGGAATAAATTTTGCCATGCGCACTGAGACGTGCAGATGTGCACCACCAGTACAAACGCGTGTTGCAGGTGCTGGTTGCATTCTGCTAATCAGCTGGGCTGCATTTGAATCTCTCTTGGGTGGCTGCCCAAGCGCTCAGCTTGCAGGGAACACTGGGTGACCCTACACACTGACTCCCCCCTAAATACAGGGGCAAGCCAAGCACCTGTAGCCTCCTGGCTCCTTGGTCGCCAGGCTAAACCCCCAGGACTTGACCCCCAATCCCACCGCGCAGCCAGCCCCTGGCGCTGTCAGAGATCCACCGTGGCTCTAGCGTTGCCTCCGTTCCCTCCCTGCACTTCACACCACTCGCTGGGTAGGGGGACCCCAGCCTCACCTGGCTGAATCTCTGCTCTCTTCCCCTCACCCAGCTATAGCCTCTCGTGTGAGATCGAGCCCCTCTCCGAGTCGGCCAGCAACACGCTGAAGGCGAAGAAAAACACCGGCATCATCAAGCGGTGGAGCGAGTGAGTCTCCCTGCTCCCCTTCTCGCCTGGGCTGCTGGGGGATGGGTGTTCGGCTAGCTGCTGGCCGGCATTTCTCCCTCCATCCCCTCTGTTCTTGGCCCACGTGCTGCGGGAGAAACTAGCCACAGCAGCAAGGCTGAGCAGGGCCCCAGCCCCCCATCCCAGGGTGATGAGTCCAGTGGCTCAACAGATGCTGCGGGATGGGGCAGGAGTTTGGCCAAGAGCTGGATAGTACGATGGCTGGGGCAGAGGCTGTATCTTCAGGGAAGCTGGCTAACGAGCCAGGCACAGCTCTGGTGCTAGAGAAGGGGCAGTATTGACGCTTAGCAGAAGGTGCTGCGGGCCAGGTGCCAGCCAGGGGCTGCCTGTGAGCAATGAGCTGCCTTGGCAGATGTTGCGGGGTAGCCCGGCTTGCTGCACGTCAGGCTGGGGGTGGGGTTAGAATAGCAGCGGGGGATGGCGCAGGGTCACAGAATGGAGCTGCTGACGCAGGAGGGCAGGCAGGGTGCCAGGATCTTTGGGCTCCTTCCAGGCCAGAGGGAGCTGCCCCGGGAGCCAAGGCTGCATGGTGCCTGTCAGCTTTGCTCCCCCCTGACTGCGTCCGTGTCACCTGCAGCCGGCAGGCGCCAAGCGCTGAGCCCTGCGCCAGCGGCAGCTCCCCCTCCAAATCCTTCGACCAGCTCAAGTGCGGGCCGTACCTGTGCAGCGGGGACACGGCCGACTCGGTCAGCGTCACCTCGGCCGGCTCCAGCAGCTCCGACGTGGAGGAGATCAACATCAGCTTCATCCCCGAGTCCCCCGACTGCCAGGAGAAGAAGGTACGGGGCAGCTCGCTGGGCTCTCCTCGCGCCCAGGGCATCAGGAGCCAGGTGCGCCCTCCGCAGCCCCGCCTCTGCCCCGACAGCTGGGGGGGGGGGTTCCCCCAACGCATTTCCTGAGGGCTGGTTCTCACCCGGAGCAGATGGGAGGCCGAGCCCCACCCCTTCCCTCCCCTCCTTCCCATCCAGGGCACGAGGGGGGTTGGCTTTGGGAATTCGCTGTCCCCTGCACTGTGACTGGATCTCCTGGGCCTCACACAGAGCTTCCCCCACCCACCCCAGCTCTTATGAGCCTCCCGGCCCTGGGGGCGCGGTTGGGAACCTCCCCCTTCTTCTCTGGGTCAAGGTGCTAAAGCCGGCGCTTGTCCATCCTCCCCCCAGTTCTGGGAATGCACCTCGCTCTCCTCTCTGGACACGTCGGGGATCGGCTCAGGCTCCAGCAGTGCCTCCTCCTCCTCCGTCTCCTCCACCCCGGTGACGGCCTCGCGCACCCACAAGCGCTCGGTCTCAGGCATCTCCAGCTACTCCTCCCTCTCGCTGCCCCTCTACAACCAGCAGATCGACGACTGCTGCATCATCCGCGTCAGCCTGGCCGTGGACAACGGCAACATGTACAAAAGCATCCTGGTGAGCCCTGGCTACCCGCAGCGCCTCCGGGGGCGGGGTGGGGATGCTAGTCTGGGCTAGTGCATCCTAGGGACGGCCTGCAGCATGCCCAGTCCCGGAGCCTCCCAGGAGAGTGTCTGATACTCTGGGCAGGATGTGCAGCAGGAAGGAGGGGAGGGGAAGTTGCTAGCGAGCGGGAGTGGGGCATGGGCTTCACCTTCACCCCGGCAGTGGCTTGTGTCCTTATCCCTGACCCCGGGATTGATGGGCGCTCTCCCCTGCCAGGTGACGAGCCAGGACAAGACCCCGGCGGTGATCCGCAAGGCTATGGCCAAACACAACCTGGATGGGGATCGGCCAGAAGACTACGAGCTCGTTCAGATCATCTCTGAGGAAAGAGGTACCTGGGGGTCTGTAGGGGAGCCCGGGTTGTTGGGGGCTGCCTCTGGCATGATGTGTGCCCCATAGTATCACTTCCCTCGGGGAGGGGGCTGTCATCCCATCGTGACAGGAGCCTGCCCCCTTCATCCCCTCTGGGAGCAGAGGCCCATGTGCAGCTGACTGAGTCCTCCTGTAGCCGGGGGGCCTGAGCCCTTCGCTCTGCAGCCCCCCGGTGTGAGGAACGAGCCTTTCCAGTGTTTGCTGCTTCCCTGGGACCCCGCCCTGCAGAGTTGGGCTGTTCTGGTGTCGGTCTGTCTGACGCGGTGCCCCGTTCCAGGCCCCGCTGGGGTCCCTTTCAGCGGCTGGGAGGTGCCATTCCCAGCTTGGCAAAACAAACACGTCTTCATGCCCTAAAATAAGGCGCGTGCACACGCACACACAGTCCCTACTGGGCTTGGAATCCATGCAAACCTCTGCAGCTGGTGGCTTGGGCTAGTGACTGGGGTTGTCACTGCCAGGGGCCGCGCTCTTGTGTCACACACGAGGCTCTGTACGCCTGCCAGCTGCTGGGCAGGCCTAACCTGAGACGGAGCCGTCTGCAGCACTCAAGGGAGCTGCTTCGCCCGTCACTTCCTGGGGAGAACGTTCCCCTGAGCCCTTCTGAGAGAGGCTAGCCAGGGCCCCAGGGAGCAGCGCTGGCTACCACTTCCTGTTCCCTCGCCCCCACAGACTTCCTGTCAGCCCATGGCCAAGTCACGCAGCCTGCGCTTCAGTTCCCCCATCTCTCAAATGGGTCCTGGGAGCGGGAGAGAGTCCCCGTGACCTGTCCTGGCGGCTGTGAGGCAGCCCCATGCTGTTTTGTTGGCAGGGAGACGAGCGCCATCTTGGTTAGGCTGCAGAACTTGGCCACAGTGCAAAGTGAGCCGGTGGCAGAGCTGGGGCTGGGACCCGGAAGCTCCCTCTGTCCCCGTGTACCTCGCGCAGTCCTAGCCTTGCTCCGCCTCGGCGCCTGGCTCCGTGCGGGCGGCCAGAGGCCTGCTGATCTCGCAGGTGACTTAACCGATCTCTGTCCTTGCAGAGCTGAAGATCCCCGACAACGCCAACGTCTTCTACGCCATGAACTCTGCCGCCAACTATGACTTTGTGCTTAAGAAGAGGGGCTTCTCCAAGGGTGTGAAAATGAAGCACGGTTCCAGCTCCACCCTGCCCCGGATGAAGCAGAAGGGCCTGAAGATCGCAAAGGGCATCTTCTAGCCAGGGCCTGGCCACACTCCTCGGCGACTGGGCTTGGAGGGGAGCCTGCTACGGGACTGGCTGCTGGGCTGTCTTAATGCCCCGAGCCTGGCTGAGGGGAGCAAGCCTCGCCTGCGAGGAAGGGAGACACACTCCTGGAACTGAATGCGCGGGTGTGGCCAGGGCGCCTCCGTGGAAACCTGCGTCCAATCCCATCTCCTTTCTCCACGGGGGCTGGGTTGTTAACGCCCCCCCCCAACGTGCGATGCCACTGTGGCCGTCGGGTTGCCCAGAGCTGGGACCCGCCTCTCTGCCTTAGGTGCCTTCTGTCAGAGCAGAGGAGAGCAGGACTTACCGAGGGCTCTGTTCGCCTGCAGGAGCGGCCGCGTTCGGGGAGTTGGCACGCTCAGCTGGCCACTGGGGAGTCGGCCAAGGGTTCCACGGGAGCGAAGGAGCCAGGCTCTCGACGCTCCAGCCAGGTGCATCGCCTGTGCCGGGTCGGGCCCTGGAGTCACTTCACTTCCGTGTCCCTCTGCTGGGATAAAAACGGCAGCAGGACTGTTCTGTGTCGTCCGCTTGCCCCCAGGAGCTGCACTTCACCCCGCACCACTCCCAACGGGGAGGTAAGCGGGAAAACACAGCTGCTGCTCCATGTGACTTGGAACCCCGGGCGGTGGAGCGTTCTGGCCTGGCAGGTGCTTTTGGTGACTGAGCAGCTGTTTTCTACTGACCCTCGGGGTTGGACTCCTGTGTCCCTCCACATGCTCCGTCCTTTTCAAACCTGCACCAAAGATCAAATGCCAGTGTCTCTTCGTAGGCAAAAAAAATACCCAGCCGGAGCTGCCATCTGAGCAAGGAGGAGAGGAGCCAATTTCTGTACAAATGCCTGTAAATAGAGACTTTTTCTTTTGGGTTGGGTGGGAGAGGAGCAGCCGCGTGGGGCTAAACACCCCTGACTCCAATCCCCCAGCCCCCAGAAAGTGCCACTCACCTTGGGCTTTAAAAATACTTTTTAAACGTGTGACAATGAAATGGGGGGAGGGGGAATCGGGAGAGGTGAGCAAACTTTTGTAAAAAACCCCAAACCCTGATGTTTACGGAATTTTTTTCCATATTTATTGGTTGTAAATAGGACTGTCGAACGTGTATATTTTAACTAACACCTCCCCCACCCCGCTTGTATTTAAGTTGCTGGGAGCGATCTTTGTAACGGCTGCGTTGTTCTGTTGCGTGCAGGTCTGGACCCTTTTCCACATCCCCTTGTTTCTTTCTCACTTACCAGGGAATTGCTTCAGCAGGGGAGAAGAAAAGCCCAGTTTTTAAAACAAAACACTCACTAAAGGGGGCTCTTTGTTCCTGGCCCTGCTCAAGGTCTTCTCTGTGTATGCCTCACCTCTGCCCCTTGTCTGTCTTGTAGCTATGTGGGGGCCTTCCATGAGCAAGCCCAGAGCAGTGGGGAGGAGACCTGTCTCTTAGGAGCCAGCTCTGTTGGAAATTGCCACCTGCAACACATGTCCCGCCTGGGCAGGGAGGAAAGTGAAGATGCAGGGATGCGGGCGGGGGAGCAAAGCAAGTGGAATGTCTCAAGCTGTAGGGGAAGGATTTTCTTATCACAACAGGAACTGAGCTGCTTAGCCTGTTGGCTTTTCTGTGACCTGCCTGCTCTCTCCTGCCCCTGCAGGTCAGACGCCTGGAGCAGCTGCTTCGGGGCTGGGTGGTAACTCCTAGCAGGGGCTTGGGCCTGTTACTCTGGAGTGATGCTGCTTTGCCTGGGCCCGTCGCAGAGGGGGTTTGTTCAGGCCCTTGCATAAGAAGTAACCCCTTTCCTAAGGGCTGCTGGGTGCTTTCCCTCCCCACGTTCCCTCCCCTGCACATGAAGGGAGCCGTGGCCTCCTTGAAGCAGGGGTTGAGGGCATCCTGCCTGGAGGAGCCTCTCCACCGCTCTGCCTATTGCATCCCCAGCTGCTCCTCTGGGGCCCCCTTTGCCAGGCATAGCCAGTAACAGGCTGACGAGTGGCGGCCCTGCTGTGCTGCCTGCCTCCACCAGGCAGCTGCGCCTGTCTCCTCCTTCACTGCAGCTCGGTGTTGTGCCACAGGAGGCCTGTGCCTTGGTGCCATGCTGGCTGGGAGGACAAGATCCTTCGCCTCCCGGCAAAGCTGCTGCAGCTCAGCCAGCATGGCCGGTCTTCCTGGAACCCCAGGGCCTTCCCTTCTCCCACACTACGCAGTGGCACCAAGTGCCTCAATGCTACTGTCTTGCGGGGGCACCCTGGCTCCAGAGGCTCCTACAGGGTGAACTGTCACTGTGAAATATTCCCCCTTAACTCCCTATGAGAATGTGAAACACACACACACACCCTGCTGGAGACCGAGGCAAACTGACCCCAGCCCTGCCCCCCTCCAGTGTCTGCCTGCCTGCTCTGCTTGCCAATTGCTCTGTGCCTGAACACATGTGCCCACTTGGGCAGGGTCCACCCACCTGCCTTCCCAGGTGGGCTCGGACGCTGCCGCCCACCCCTATCTATGTGATCACTGCAGCCGGCTGTATGATATGTATGTATTTTGTAACACGACTTCCATGAAGGTGCACACTGCCCAGGGTGACTTGTACACAGCCATGTAATTAGTCTTTGCAATAAAAGACCACCGTGCAACCCTCGCCACTGGAGCGCTGCCTGCAGTTTGTCCTCGGGTGCGGGCCGAACGCGAAAACGGGACCAGGCAAAGGTCTGGGCTGCCTCTTGTGAAGCCCCTTGCTTCTCTTTTGGCTGGCGAGAGAAGCCGGGAAGGACTGAAGCCCGTAGTCTCTTTCCCCTGCAGTCTCTTCCCCCTCTCCTCCCCACTCCTGGTTGCTGGGGAAAGAGGCGCTGAGTGATAGAGCGGAGTCACTCGCTCTTGCTTACCCTGTCAGACATGGGCAGAGCCAGCCCTGGAAGGATGATGCCAGCAAACTATTGGCATCGCACCTAAACAGCATGGACACCAGGTGCCCAGCACTGAAAGAGCATTGCATTAGCCCACTGTGCACTGAATTCAATAGCAAGAACAAGGATTGGGGTGAGGGGGCGTCTACCTGGCTGTTCCCAGCTCTGCCACATTCTGAGGTAAGTCAGCAACAGGCGGGGCCCTCAATCCTTATCTGTAAAAGAGCTAAATATCGAATTACTATGGTATTACTAGGGATGTGATAGTGGATTTGTTTGAATGGTTACATGCAAGACCTACCCCTGCTCCTCTATCAGAGGGGGCAGAGAGGAGAAGAGGCAGGAGCCAGTGCTCACAGGGAGCCAGCTCTTAAGCCGGCTCCCACCAAGCACCAACTCCCTCCTGCCCCCCCCTCCACACACACATTGCTGCCTCTGTATCAGAGGCAGCAATGCCAGGGAGGGGGAAGGGACAGGTGGTTCTGGGAGCTGCCTCCCCCTTTGCACGTAAACATGTAATCCGGCGGTTACATGTTTACCAGAACAAAATGTTTAACATCCCTCATTAGGACCATGCCAACATGAATGTTTAGGGCCAAATAGTGTTAGTGGGGAAGCAAAGCAGCCAGCTGATTTGAATAAGGCTTGTCTGTGCTGGGGGGCGGGGGATCAGTCTGACACGTGTGTGAAAGACCCCAATTGCAAGCAACCCCTTTAAAGCATCTCAGTGCAAAGTTTGACTGTTACGTGAAGAGAATATATTAGGCAAGAACATGTTGCGGGTATAACAGCTCCATGCATCAAGCACCACCAGGTATATTTTTCACAGGACAGAAAACACCCCGTAAATTTAATCACACTCTCTCCCACTGTTCTTAGGGAAAATTCTGCTGCAAGGAGACTGGAAGAGGGCAGGAGTTGCGGTGAGAAACAAGAATTTAATCAGAACTTGGCCAGTTTTGTGGTTGGTTGGTTGGTTGAACAGAATTAGTTGGTCGTTTTGTTGGCCTGGCTCCCATCCAGGCCAGTGAGAGGAACAGTAGGCAGTTTCTGGTAGGTTGTACTCCAGAATTTCACGTAGGGGGTTCTCAGCCCTTCCTTTGCTGAATCATAGTTGATGTCGCTGTTGATTTCGAGGTAGTAGCCCTGCTCCTGCGTGTAGGGCACCCAGCCGATGGGCACAGATAATTCCCCTTTGTTGGGGTCGCTGCAAGCAGACACAACAGCCGGGGTTAAATGCAAAGCTGGGGGGAGGGGAGGGGCTGCACCTAGTCTGCAAGGTTTCACTCAGGGTTTCATTTTCTAATGGTCTCTCACCCTGGGAGAAGGAATCATGTCCCTGCCTGCTTGAACGTGAGCAGCCGTCTGGGAGTAAGGGTTGAGTACTGACTTACTGGGAGGAGCCAGGCTTTGCTGATTAGCTCATGGATGGCTGGGCACTGGGAAGAATGTGTATATTAGCACAGTGAGTTTACACTGGAACAATATGTTCCACTGAAGATACCTGCTTTTGCCATTCCCCTATCTCAAGGAGGGACCTTGGAGCAAATGCTACTCGAGGATCCACTTCCAATGGGGTGGGTGCTGTGGCCGTTCGCCCCAAAAGGCTAACAGGAGGTGCAGGAAGATCGCAACAGGGAGGTCACTGCCCCAGCTCCTTACCCCGTTCGAGCAAAGTTGGTCCAATAAGCAATCATGGCAGCCGAGACAGTTCTGTGCTTAGGGAAGTAGCCTAGCGGGGTAGCGAAGGGTTTCCCAAAGACATATTGAAGGTCGTCGGCATGGTCTGCTCCGACCCAGCTGGGGTACACAGGCATGCGAGAAGGCTGGGAGAACAGGTAGCTGTAAGTCTTGGCGTTCCTGCAGAAACCAAGCACGTTTAAGCATGTGAAGAGAGCCATGCTCTCACCTAACACCAGACTGATATTGGCAATGGAGTGGTTCAGTCTTGGAAGAAAGACGTTTACTGTCAGCTTAAAATCTTACAAATACTTGTCCTTCCGTTTACCCAGATACCTCAACTGTGTCTGTACAAATCTCATTTATTCTCCATCATTCATAATCCCCCGAACCCTTTTTTTTCTCATCTCTCCAGATGTGGAGAACAGATTAAAGTCAGTGTCTAGAGGATTCTAATTTCACTGTGGTTCTCCTGCCCCTCTTTTAATGTGGCAAGGGGGAGCCGGGAAATGAGAGCAGAGAAAGTTGGAGGTGGGTTTTTCCCCCCTAAATCTGTTTCCATGGGAATACAGGCAGTCCCCGGGTTACGTACAAGATAGGGACTGTAGGTTTGTTCTTAAGTTGAATCTGTATGTAAGTCGGAACTGGCGTCCAGATTCAGCCGCTGCTGAAACTGATCAGCTTCAACAGTGGCTGAATCTGGGCGCCAGTTCTGACTTACATACAAATTCAACTTAAGAACCCCAGGCATCCCCAAGTCAGCTGCTGCTGAAACTGATCAGCGGCTGATTCCAGGAAGCCCGGGGCAGAGCAACTCTGCCTCGGGCTTCCTGTAGTTAGCGCTGGTCAGTTTCAGCAGCGGCTGACTTGGGGACGTCTGGGGACCCACCCAGCCGCACCCCACCCGCC